ACTGACCTACTGCAGAATCTAAAAAACTCCTAGCAATCCAATACATGTTCAAGGGCACCTGGACATACATTCAGAAAAAAATTAAACTTTAAAAAGTCAGTGTAAAAATACAAGTACTAAAGCTATAGCTGGAAGAAATGAGGTGCTGAACAGAATAAAAGCAGGATGCTCTACCCAGAGAAAAGGAAAGAGAAGAAAAAAACAGCACAGAAAAAGCGAAGAAAATTATAGGAACCAGGGGTAATTCAATTTGCCCACCACCACAAAGAACATGCTGCAATACCAGTTGGTATACACTGAAATACCAAAATACCAAAAATATTTCAAGGCTACAAAGACAGCAGCTTTTACAATATTAGAGAAGAAACACAATTTCATATTCACCGTAAGCTCTGAAATTCTAGGTCAAGGCACTTCAACCACCCTAAAAATAGAAAGCGTTGGTAGTAACACTCCCTAGATCTTTTGCCAGTGTTAGAATTTAATGCACATTTTCTATGATGAATACAAGAGAAAAACTGCTATGGTAGTTTTCAGCTTTTGCTTCCCTTGACAAATCTACTTGCTACCTGTATTAAGAAATCCTCTTGGCATCTAACCTATCAGTTGGTGTACAAATATATATTTTTTTTTACTTTTAAAAGATAAGGTGCCTTTTTAGGTGTGCAGAAATCTTGATTGGACCTAAGTATACACCAGTGCAGTCATGGTTTCACAAGCCTCCCCAGAGAATCAAAAAAGTTACACAGTTGTAGGAACTGCCAAATCTACTACCTACACGCAACATGAACAAATGGGCTCCAGAGAAGAATTTCCTCCCTACTTCACAGATGTCCCCACAGTGATTACTGGAGTCTCCTGGTTAGTACAACAATCCCTCCCCAAGTACATGGATGTAGCAGTAAGTCAGCATGCCTCTCTCCTAGGCCCCCCAAAGCCCTACTATGAAACAGAATGGTAGACTGTTGAACATGGGAGGTAGCTACTCTCTGCAGACACTTAGCAGTGTCTGGTCTAATATATACTATTTCTCTTGGAAGCAGCAGCTGAATTCACCACCAGAGACATGAACTGTCTCTATATCCCATCTTCATTGGTTAGTTTACTCTGAAGCCATCCTGTGCCTTTACTTTATTCCTGGAAGCTGCTGCATATATCTGGAGCAACTAGGATGTGCATGCAGCCCTCACTCCAAACCCTGAAAACATCACATTTCACTAGCAGCAAACAGGCTAAATCTGACCAACTTCCTCCAACACAACTGTAGGCACAAATATGCCTCTCCAATATATGCCCATCTCAAAGAAGAGTTTTGAGAAAAGAGTTCTAAACCTGAACTATCCACCTGTGTTACATAGATGATATTTTAATCATCTGGACTGAACACCTGGACTTGCTTATTAAACTTTTGGCAGAAGTTGATAACTACCACCCTTCCAGCAAATTATTTCTGGAATACTCCTACACTAACATCATTTTTCTTGATACCACATTCTAAATCTGGGAAGACGCCCTACAAGCCACTGAATACAGAACACCCACAGACCACCACACATCCACAAAACCAGCGATAACTGCAAACATGCCAAAAAAAAAGCAATGATCTGCAGTGAAGCCTTCAGATACTACCACATCTGCTCTGAGGAGAACACCCATGACACCCAATCTTGCCAAACTGAAAATAGCCTTTATACAACAAGAACACTGCAGCAGAGAAATAGACTACATGTTTAAAGGAGCCACCGAAATACAGGTTTCCCTTGCTTTATGTGGGTTGTGTGTGTGTGAATTCACTCTTATGCAATGGCCCTTTTTATACCAAAAATTAATTATATGCAAGGTAAACTCACTCTTATGAGATCGGTGTGGTGGAAGCCCACAGTCAGCTGCTGTGTAGTGCATTGTGGGAGCTACACACACCAAAATATAGTCTCCCGTGTAGATCTGTGCTCCTCGCTCGTTGTCTGTGACACGTGTTTCTGTAGTTGCCATGCCCATTATGGTTTCTAAGCTAGTTTATCTCCTACCCCTCTCCCTGGTCCATCAATGAAGCCTTCACTACTCTCTCTTCAAACCAACTAAAAATTCAACACCACCCTGTGTGTGTATGTACTGTCTGCTGTCAGTGAGTAACAAAACTGTCTTGTGAAAGTGGTAGAAATGGGTCTGCGGGTCAGTACAGTCGAGGACTTGGAACATAACCCTATTTGTTATGTTGTAAAGTGGGTTTCCTTTATGCGAATTCGAGTTATGCGCCATTTTCCAGGAACATGTGTACAACATAAAGCGAGGGAAACCTGTACCCCACAGCAACCTGCTACAATACAAGGACACACACACTGCACACTCTTGGTCATCACCTTCCATCCACACTTGAACCTATAAGAAGGATCAAACAACTGCAGCACTTGAAAAGGACCAGATTTTGAGAAAAATATTCCCAGTACCCCCACACTCCTAGTCTTCAAACATCCCCCTAACCTCACCCACCTCATTATCAGAAGTCATTTCCCTGCTGATCAACAGATACCTAACTGGGACACAGCCCTGCCTCAATAATAAATGCAAGATCTGTCCACATCTCTCTACTGCCAATCAACACTCCCCACAGCAAAACCATCAGAATCCATGGATCGTGCCATGTTTATCTGAGAATGTAGTATAAATCATCCAGTGCACCAAATATCTTCATGGAAACTATGTCAGTGAAACCAGACAAAAACTAAACACCAGAATGAATAACCACTGACAAAAATTAAGGACAGCGACACTAAGGAATAGGAGAACATTTCTCATAGAAAAATCCCTCCCTATCTGACCTCTCAGTACTAGTGATCAAAGAAAATCTCCCCAATGTCTTTAAAAGATGAGCATGGGAACAGAACCTATTGGACACCAAGCACATAGATAAATGACTGTAGGGTCCACTGTAATTTTCCTGATACTAGTAGCCTGTGCACTTTACTGGTGATAATGATCCTATTTAACAAGCTTTGTTCTATCTGCTGTTTAGCTCAGCAGTGTCTGCTTTGATCTCAGAGGCTTGAGGAAAGGTACTGTGATCCCCAAAAGTTTGACTATGTATACCAACCGTACAGTCGGTCCAATAAAAATATCAACCACAAGAATTCTTGCCTCTGGCCTATCTCTTGGACCATCATAGCAACAACATCACCTCAACAATACTAACTTGACATTTTGCAATTTGTTTTCCTGCATTAAATACTCATATATAGAAGTCTGAAAGAAGTGTGAAAAAGATCACAAAGAAGAAGATAGGAAAAAATGTCTACAGCCAGTGTATCTTATTTTTCCACCTATTTTGTTCCATTACTGAGCTATTACAAAGGCATCTCTCTGGTCTCCCAGGTATTCGCTTCCTGGCTCCTTTTGCTCTCCATTTTGCAGAACCAAAGCAACATGTCTGAAGAAGTATCACTCTTCCCAAAACGGCAAAAACTGAAATGGCATTACAGGATTTGGTTCCATTAAAGCCAGCAGTGTCTTAAGTTTCAAAACTATTCCATTTTGCAATGACTGAACTGGAAAAGTGTTAACATTAAGAAAGATGTTATAGTAACATTTCTCTAACTGTATTTTTGTTCTTTACCTCATTATGTTACTCTGCTTCCCCTTTTATATTTGTGAATCTTGGATATCACGGAGTTTTAGGCCCACAATAACATTTCACTGACCAAACCCACTTCATGACATTCACCATTCTCTCTTGCTTAATATCTCAGGAATATATATGCAACTTAAAATGTAATGTATGTGTAAATAATGAATATGCCTAGATGACTGATATCATTATTATTTCTTTTTTATGCCTCTCTACTTGCTGTTTCCCAAGATCATAAGTCTCAAAACCACTCGAAAAAATATATAGAAAATTATCCCAAAATGGAAAGAAGCTTTAGCTAGATGTTTTAAATGCTTTGCTTCAACAATTATATGTTAACAGCTAACAATATTACTGATACAGCTGTATTTGTTAAGGAATTGCAATCTGATAATGTTTTCCAGAGGCATAACTGGCCAGAGCTGTGCCCCAGGGCATTCCCCTCTCCCCCCCCCCCCCCCCCGCCTTTTTTTTTTTGCAGGGCTCTGGCTCCAGCAGCAAGTGTGCACAAGCCACAGCTAGAGGTCACTGCCACAGACGTCAGTTCCTTTTTTTGCCACAGACGTCCACATCGAGTACCTTAGAAAGCATCCATTTCCAGTGGCAAAAATAGAGTAACATCTCTCCCCCAAACGGCAACAAACTTGACTGCTTCTCAAGAGCGACATTTGTCAGAGTGCCTTTCACTCGCTCACCCACACATGCCACCGCTGCTCTCTTGGTAGAGCTGAAGCTGGAAGGCTGCTGGAGGGGATCACAATAACAATTTCACTCCATTCTGGTACCCCTTTTCCCTCCCCCTTCGACAACACCTTGGGCTCATGGTCCCATTTGCCCACCCATCCTTATGCTACTGATATTTTCTATACCTTTTTAAACCAGTTAAATGATTTTTTCCTGAACATGCAAACATGTTTATGATAAAGCAAAATAGTAAGAAACCAAGGCTATATCATCCTCTGCATGAGTGGCTATAAAGTCTGAGAAAGCACAATAGCCTAAAAAGTCTTGGGAAACTATATCTTCACCTATTAAGAGTATATGAAGTATAAGATATGCATGCTGCATCTGTAAGTATATATCATGTAGGCACACAATTTATAGGAGGCAAGCAGAAATAATTCCATATATTATTGAGTCACACATACACACACATTCCCTTCAATAAAATCTGGACAATATTTTCAAAACACAAGTCCCATTATTTTAATTTTATGAATTACTAGAAGCAAAACAAACAAACAAACAAAAAAGATTAAGATGAAATATTTGGAGATTTTTTAAAACTTACTTAAGCTAAAAAAACGAGAGGTCTACACATTTCAAATGGGTGTCTCTTTAATAACCTTCCAAAAAATAAAAAGTAAATATTTCTTACCTTCACCTACCATCGAAACACCTATTGACATTCCCATAAACTTGCTCTTGGTCCATACGTGGGCATTCACACACATTTTCTTCTCCTTGCACTCGCAGTAAAAGCAAGATACTGGTGGATGATGGGATATTTGTTCAGCTACAAACCTCAGCTTGTAACACTCTGACTGGTCCTGGCTAAACTCCTTGGTTTGGTCTTTATAAACTGCAGAGGCACTATTAGTTCTGAAAGGTTTCACTTTGTCTTTAGGTACATCCCAGGAGCAATGAAACATTTCACCAATTATTGGGTTATAGGGCTTCTTAGCAACAGCTCCCTTTCGGCCTTCATGAAAAGCTGTTAGATAATATTCCACAAAGCAGATAATTCTTTCCTCCGGAGTGGCTCCAGCTGCAATTGACAAAAACAGGTCTGGATGGGCCATGAAATTTGCATACATCTCCAGCAGGGATCTTTTCTCCAAAATAAATGTTGGAAGCACTACCTGTATTCAAAGCAGACAAAGGCACATATGATTCCCCATGATTATACTACAGAGATGGTAAACAATTAAACACAGCTGCAGTTTATTTCAACCAAACTTCACAAGAGCAGTTTCCCTGCCACAGCCAAAGAGCAATTTCTCTTGGTTTACAGTGTAAATAATGAATCAAGGAAAAAATTAGCAGCCTACAAGCTGCTTCCTATTTCATTAGGGTTCTCACTGGCAGATCAAACAACATTAATATGCTATCCCAACTGTGTGCTATTCCTTTCAGCCCCACCCCTCCTCCCCAAGCCAAGTGTTTCAGAAGATAGTTATCTATGTTTCCAATTTCCAAATGGTTAACAAGAGAATCAAATTGACCATTTAAATCTGCTTTTAAAGTTAATATGGTTTTGTTAGTAGTAGCAGCTTTCAGTAAAATCTCTTCAGACACACAGTGTTGTAGAACACAGAATAATGTCTCCAACTCAGAACCTTACTGACAGCTCACCGAGAGTTAAGATCATCATTTAACATTTATATTACTTCAAGTGAACTGAAAGTACCAGATACATCCTTGTCAGACAGACGTTTTCCGGCACGAACCATCACTGACAGAAAATACATTTGGCACAAATGACAAAATGGAAGCCAAGAGGCTAAACTAGTAGCATTGATTATCTAAATCAATGGTCCTCAACTTTTTTATCCCACAGGCCAGGTGTGCATGGGCAGTGCCTGGGCCATCCGAAGGTCAGATCTGACCAGTGGTTGTGATCCAGGGCGCAGTAGGACATGACCCAGGCAGAAGTGGGTGGAGGGCAGCCTGACTCTGATCTGGCTGCACAGGGGAAAGGGGGGCATGGCCTGGCACCAATCCAGAGACGTGGGGGAAAGGAGGCATGACTCGGTCCCAACCCAGGTGCACAGGACTCGAGAATTTGGCAGCAGGAGAAGTGTGGCAGCATTAATTGCCACTGCTCCCCCACCACCAAATTTCCCAACCCATGGGGAACTACATAGGCTGGATGTCATGGCTCCATGAGCCAGATTTGGCCCACAGGCCATCCCTGCACTAAACGAACAGCCCCAGTAAGCACTTCTGTGACTTCTTACCTAGACTCATTTTGACAATGGACTTCTTACCTATACTCATTTTTGTCTATTTTCTACCCTCAGCTCCTCACTTCATGCTTTTTCTTGCCCAACATATCAGAACTATTTAGGCCAAGGATCCAAGGGCACCTCCAAAGGAATTTCTTTGAAATAATATTCTCAACTCACTGGCACAGATGTATAATACTTTATGCTGCACAATAATAGGCTGGGGGCCCCACAAGTGAACTCAAATGGCTGCCACTCAGATGGGCAGAGTCTGATCATTACAGTCATTACTGTTAATATCCATAGGAGGTGGGTGAAGGCTTCATTGCTCCAAAGGGATCTCTAACACATTAATATTACAGACAGTATAATATTGTCTCTTAGTTACCCCATTTACCATTTTTGGCTGTTTTAACTCCCCCTGGAAGAGCTGCTAGTACTTTATTCCACTGGATCTCTACATTATGGGGACCCTATATCAGCACTGTATCTTCCACCATGCTTAGGCCCCAAACCTGCAACTTGTTTCATGTGTTTGCATCACTGCACTCTATTGAGTTTGCAGGGCATGGGCCTTATGGTACCCAATATAAATAACTCAAGACTAGACCTAAAGATGAGCTATTTTTCTTGTTCCTAGGATGGAATCAAACTTTGAAGAACAGTGAGGGAAGTAGGTCCCCACAAACAATACCAACACAAAATTGTTTTATTTTTAAGTTACTCACACTTTACCCAAATATTTCTTGCCTGGCAGGAGGGAAAGACTGCAAAACTAACATTAGATAAGCTAGTCTTTTCCCCCCCATATGGCCACATCTGACGAGAAAAACCTTTCCTTGCATAGGAAGGGGGGCAGGGAAGATGTAAGAACATACTTAATGTTGCAATTTTGGTGATTAAATTTTAAAGCTACCATGATTTCATCCTCCTCTTGGATTAGGAAAGCCCTAATGTTCATTTCCACTCTCTCCACCACAGGATTTATGCTCTGGGGCCAGCTGTTCCACAGAAATGTACCAGCAGCACTGTGTAAATAGGTACAAGAAAGTAATGGATACTTTCATAATAACATTATTATATTTTGAAATTGTAATCAGAGAGATTATCCTTAAAAATTGTACAAGTAAGGATTCAAATTCTTTTATAGTATAAGACTCCAAAACAAACGTTCAAATAGCTAAGTAGCTATTTTCAAAAGGGAAATATGCAAATGAAAAGGAGTAAAGATTGAGTTTTGATTAACTTAAGGCAATGGCTTTAGAATCCAAGTAATTTAAGAGTTTTGAGAAATACTGGGATAATGTTATTTCTTATTAGATGCCTTAATTCCAAATGTTTGGATAGCTCAGGCTGCCATATACTAACCAACAGTCTAAACAGTACTGGCCAATTTTAGCAGCTGCCCCCCATTCTTGGATGTTAGCATTTCATTTTGTCACGAACCCACTAAAGTTTGAGGCATGTTTTCCTGAGTTTATCTTACTGATATGGCATGTATGGTTTCAACATACAAATAGCATCAAACTGTGATCAGTCCTGTTGTTCTTACGCATTGTAGTATTTGATATACATGTATTTCCAAAGTTCAAATAAGGCCAGGATTGCATAATGAGTTTTTTGCCTGGGAGAGGCCCAAAGTCTAAATGGCTGAAGAGAGGTAATCACTGAAAAAATTAGCATCCAACATGGGTATGCTAAATAGCCAGGCCTTCAAGACGATGTTCAACCTACATTTTAAAAGAAGGGACTGTAAGAAGAACACCTGACTATTCAGGCTATCCAAAAAAACCTATTTCTCACAGTGGGGAAATTAAGTGAGCATCCCTGAGATATGTTTAAAAAGACAAATGTTCCACTGGTCTTAATCTGATCATGAAAGACTTAGTCTAGTAAACATGCACCTCATGGAGAGAGTAGGAAGTTATATGCACAGTGTAGGCTCCCCAAGAATCTAGTGGGTGACGTATGTAAATAGACAGATAAGAAACCATCCTTAAATATCTGCCTCATTTTCACAGGCATCAAGAAACAGAGTCCCTCACCTAGTGGGCTGAATTCTTGGCTCTGATATTTTGTATTTGGTTCCAATATTCTGATATTTCTTTTTGTTTGTTTGTTCTTACATCTCCATCTGTACCTCAGCACATGGTTATAGATTTCTTATGCTTGTTCTTGGGTTTTTTTGTTTGTTTTCTTTTTAATAAATCTTTTTGTAAGCATACTGATCTCAGAGTATGTGAACCTACAGGTAGGGCTCTTCCAGGGGGTGGAGGGGCATGGAAATCCATCTTTTCTGAGCACATGACCGGACAAGGATACAATTACTCTAGCTGGCAAAATCCCCTCTCCTAAGAGCTGGAAAGATCTGGGTGAGATGAGTAAGACTGACGAACTACAGGCCAAGGAGTTAATTCCTGGCATAATCTCAGCTGGTTCTCATTAGTCAAGCACCAGATGACACAGAGGAGCTTGGGACTGAAGGGCACCCCCCTGAAGGCAGGAAAACACCCCAGGAGCCTGCATCTCAGACGCACACTTGGCCAATTTGGGGTCAACAAGCATCACATACAGTGTATACACTGTTTCACAGAGACTACTACATTCCCCCTTGCCACTGCAGGAACGTGGGGCATATATGCAAGTGCCTTATGCTCTAACATTAAAGCAGTTCATCCCTGGCAAAACTATTACACTAGTTAACTCTTTAGAAATATGTGCAGAATTAGGAACTAAGACTTCTCACATCTAAAACAGTCCTTGGCACCTCTCAAATTTTTTTGCTTTGCATGAAAGGGCAAGGCTGTCTCGCTCTTTCCCTTTGGGGAAAGATCTGCAATTAGATTTAAAACGGGAAAAAATGCATACCAGATGGCCAGTCATCAGAATCCAAGAATCTGCTAGTCAGAAACTAAAGGAATCTCAATCTTACCGTTAGGAGAAATAAACCACTAGGCATTCTATGTTTCTTCTTGGGATAGAGGACAACAGATTGGTGCACAATGCAATGATAAATATGCTCCTGAAGGACTTTACAGACCCACCTAAAGCTTACTGTGACAACGTAAAAGCTTTGCTCAACACAAGCTACACTCAAGTGCTAACTGGAGAAAGTAAATTCAAGAGTACTCCTATCTCTTGCCACAGCCTATGGTGAGGGAAAATTGCTGGACTGCACTTGTTCTTAGGAGGGAATGGAAGATCCAGCAAAGCCAAATCCCGTTGACATGACAATTCACTGTTTTAAGAGGGAAAGAAGCATTGAACTTTTGATGAAGTAACTGTGGAAATAAAATAAAACATTTGCATCCCGCCTATCTTTTTTTACATTCCAGCCAGATGCACACACCTCATACATTTACTGATTTCCCCTGGGTTACTGCAGGACTTGTTTGCTGTATGTTATTTCTAGGTTAGTAGTAATCAGCTAGAGAAAAGATGATACTAATCAGTACTGCTCTAGTAACCAAACTCAACCCAGTTGATCTGTATGATGGAATGTCAGAACAGGATAATCCAGCTATCTGACCTGACTGTACATGAAGGACAGAAACCTATCTGTTAGACCATTTACTATTTATGAGGTAACTTGTAATTTTTGGCAATGTTCAATTAAGAATTCAAAAGATACACATTTTCATTCGATTTGCACAATTAGTCTGCATTAATATAATTTTAAAGTGAGGCCTCAGATACAATGTAGCACTGTGTCCTGAACAAGTAACTGGCTGTGTGTGCATATCCCTGCATTCATACAGGGTCACTCACTCTAGCTCAGGCTTGTCCAATATACGGCTCGCGGGCCACCATGCGGCCTGCCAAGCCATTTTATCTGGCCCACAGCGGCGGAGCGCGGAGCCACCGTCACAGAGCGCAGAGTGGTGGGGACAACGCAGAGCGCAGAGCCACTGCCGCGGAGTGCAGGGCAGTGCCACCATGGAGCACGGAGCTGCCAGCGGCGGCAGGGAGTGCGGAGCTGCAGCGGCGCGGAGCCAGCAGCAGCAGCGGGGCCTTAGCAAGGCAGGCAGGGCTGGCCCGCGGGCCCCAGCCAGCAGCGAGGGGAGGGGAGGGGAACTGTTTACCCCTGTGGGGCCCAGGGGAGTGGCCCCGCACAGGAGGCCAAGCAGCAGTCGCTGGCACTGCTGGCCCGCGCCTGCCTCCTCACCCACCCACTTCAAACCAGCCCCGCTGCCCTGCCCCACAGCAAGGCAGCGTTTGCTCCCCCGGCCAGTCTCCCCCTGGGAGCTGCAGCTCTCCGGGCCCGGCCACCTGCCGCGAGGCCCCAAGGGGGCCGCTTCTCATGTGCTGCTGGGGACGGGAGGAGCCCAGCTGGGTCTGCACCGGCCAGCAGAAGCGGCGGCAGAGCCGTGTGCCGCTTGGGATGGGACGAGCCTGCACCTGTGAGTCCTGAGCGGCACACAGCTCCACTGCCGCTTCTGCTGGCCGGTACAGACCTGGCCGGCCTCCTCCCATCCCCAGCAGCACATGGGAAGCTGGCTTCAGCTGCATGCTGATTTTCCTGGCCGGTGCCAACCCGGTTCTGCCCAGACAGGTCTTGCAGCACCATGTCAACCCGGGCAAGGCACCAGCAGGCCGGGCTGGCCCCAGGTTTACCCCAGGCTGGTCCCATGGCTTCTCCAGCACCAGGTCAACCTGGTTGTAGTCAAGTGGCTCCTGAAGCACCATGTCAACCTGGGCACGCATGCCATGTCAACCCCTGCAACTTCACTGGTGTCAAAGGTCACGTGACATCATTTCCTGATATGATACCACTTCCTGTGACATCTTTGAATACGGCTCACCGGCCCACTGGGTGATAAAAAGTTTGTTATCCGGCCCCACCTTCAAAAAGGTTGGACACCCCTGCTCTAGCTGTTACCGAAGTCTGCTGGAGTGAAAGAGCTCAGTCTAGCATTGTCAAGACAAGACAGCTAGTGCAGGAAAATACTTCAATAGGAAATGTAGCAAGAGTCTCTCATACCAGCATCTCAGTAACATTAAAGGGCTTCTATTATTTTCCTACAAATGTTGAGTCCTTATGTTGTCAAGGCCAGTACTAATATAATAGCATAACAATAAACTACCCCTAGGAAAGGGAAGAGATGTTGTCTTTGATAAGGCATATGAATTTAATGGATTAGTCCTTCAGGAGCAGATGCCACTAAGTGCTCAGAAGAGCTGTTTGCCCATCTGTTTAACATCTAACAAACAATTTCTAATTTATGAAATAAACTTAAAAAGGGAAAAGCCCTGGGGAAGCAAGCACTGGAAAAATTTAAACATTTAAAACTAAATTTACTTTTTAAGTAATTTAAAAAAGATCTCTTCAGATCAACATCCCCTGTGTCACCACCAGCTTCCACAGTTCCAAAAGCTGCTCAATATTATAATATTGCAGTTTTATTTTTAGAAAGAAAAAAAAATAGAGAAAGTACTGTCACCAAGTAAGCCAGATTTGTTTCTGCACCTTCTTAGGGCAGGGGAAGAAAAAGGAGGAGCAGCGGGAGAAGAAAGAGAGAAACTAAAGTACAGAGGAGTTAAGTCCCAAATAACCAGAAAAAATAACATGCAAATGGCACCTTGTATTCATGTAGTGCATATACCATGGATATCAAAGATACGATCCACAAACCGGATCCAGGGCATGGAGCCCCATCATCTGGTCTGCTGTGCTGCCCAGGGATATTAGACTGGACCTATATGCTAGTGACGGCACACAGCACACCGGTCAGATTTAGCATGCATACTGCACAGCACACAGAGCTGATTCCAACATGTGTGGGACACAGCACCCGGAGGTGGTCCAGAGTGCTCACAGTGCCCAGACTGGAACAGCCCTGCACACTGCTTCTTTTTCCTTCATGCGACAGATACTACAGACACATATACACATTAACTTACAGCCAGCATTAGAACATTCATAGACAACCTCTAAAGTTTATATAGCATCTCTAGTGGTCTATTTTCATGAAGTGAAAAAAGTCAGCATATAGATTTGTGTTATCTTTTTGTCTAAAGGGATTACATACTTTATTTACTCGCATACCCCACACACACCTACATCCCTTTTCCAAAAAAAAAAACAAAAAAAAAAAACCCAACTCTTCCCCCCCCCAAAAAACACAACCCCGCCCCCCCGAAATACAGGTCCATGTCTTAAGCAGAGAAGCTGATTTTGTGCCCAGATTAGAAGCATCCTATTTTATTCTTGCTTCATCAATCAGCAGTAGTGGCATTAGTATTCAGGCAGCTGGCTTAATGGCTCATTGTTTGTCACTGCACACATATTAGCAATCATTATTCCTTCTTATTGGTTTGGTGCTGCACTAATCTGCTAAAATATTCCTGGTCTCTCTTCTCCTATTTCACAGCCCTGGAGACTTTTTAAGCTCTTTACAAAATCATACATCTCATGAACACATCTTCAGCAGAAGTGAGGGTTTCAGCTTTGAGTTAAACAGAAAAAAGGGAAGCTGAAGATTAGGCTCTGTTCCTGATTGATGTACCTATAACCAGAAAGGTTTTTTTTGATTGTTTGCTTTTTAATTCTGCCCTCCCATAAATAAGGTGCTTATCTTATTTGGGGGGAAAAAAATAAATAAATAAAACAAAAGGCAAGATATTGGCACCCTGCCTTGATAGAGATGTATTTTAGAACCTTCCTCCAAGTTCACACAATTTGGTATTTGTGGGCTGTGTGTGGCAGTAGGCAAAATAGGAGGGAGAATTTCCCGTTAGCTTTCTAAAGAATCTTGGGAGAAAATGGTTTAAAAGCAGGTATTACTAACGTAGTCAGATGAAGTATCTAGTCCAGTTTAACATTCTGAATACAGGCTAGGCATACTATAGCATTTACAATTAAACTAATAATAGACATACAGTGCTAAGCAGCAGAAGAATAGGGAAATAAAAATAGGACCAATAAGAAGTTTTCCTCATCTCTAAGAAGTGACAAAGAAGTTATTAAGAAATTAAATGGGGAGGCTTTGATTGTACTCAGACTATTGTTTGTAGTACAGTACCTAATGCATTATTTTTCACAATAGATTAAAGAACTATTCAGTTCAAAAATGGTCTTTTTACAAAAAAAAAAAAATCCATTTGTTTTATTTCAATCATGGTCCAGAAAAAGGCAAATGACATACATGAAAGTATATGAAAAGGATGGACCACATTGGGCAAATCTATTCCAGAGAAAATATACATTAATCAAACTGTTTCCGAGATCAAAAGAGAAGCATATCTAACCCTTCTTGTATATCCACATGCCCTTGAGAAGAGCTCTCTTACATAGTAGCTCTACACACAGATATTCCTCTGATCTTCCCATACTGTACTTATTTGTAAAGGAAACAAGTCAGAACAAATTCATGTTATTTATTTCACTTCTTTGAAAAAAAAAAAAAGAAGCTGTCTAAAAGGAAAAGGATCTCTATGCCATTAAAAAGCCCTCTCAAGGTTTGTATAACCGCAAGAGATTAGATCACTAGAATGCAAAAATTAACAGAATAAGTTTCTGTTTTTAGATCATCTACAACATTTCCAGTTCTAAAGAGGCTTATGAAAAAACCTGTCTGCTATCACTACCTCTCATATCCCATAACAAGATTCTTTTTTTTTTTTTTTTTACACCAATTGATTTTGTTGGTTCTAGAACAACAAGAGTGTGTAGACAAAATATGACCTTTTCTGCCAGGACTTTAACATGAAAAGTAGTGTTTCACAGAAGGACCGTAACTTTTGTTACTGTCATTTGCCAGAAATTTCCCAGTCATCACAAGGAATCTGATACCACACTGCTAACATAACCCACCTCCTCTTCTCCTTAAATTGACGATCTTTAACTCCCATCATTCATTTTATCTTCAGATGCAGGTGAAGTGAAATTGACTGTGAGCCTACACTCTGCTTACATTGTATAACCCATTGATTTAATGGGCTTTGGATGGACAATGAATGCAGGAAGTTGAATGAGCTATGAGAAGAAAAAAAAAAGGCCAGGCCCTGACTTGTGTGAAGCAACCATAAAACAGATCAATGAGTGCTTGCAAAATCATGGCAAGACAAATTTTACAAAGACAAGATACATTTTTATCATAGTCTTAGTCCACTTCTGACTTCAAAAGGAATGTGAGTTGCCCTACAAAAATATTTTACTAAATTTCCAGCACTGTTTGTATAGATAAAAAAACTAAGATCTCATTTTGAAGCCTACAGTAAAATCTAATATTCTATGATGCATTAGAGCAGAATTAGACCATGTGTACCACTGATTACAATCAATATTCTTTTTTTTTTTTTTTTTTTTTTTTTTTTTTTTTAGCAGCTCATGCTGTGGTTTCTTCCTATGAAAAAAAATCTGGCAAGCAAAGCAGATCTAGCTACAAACCTCTTTTGTAAAGGAGCAAGTCCATTAAGTCTACCTGCGAAGGGTTCCTGGAACTCACCAGCAGGGGAGTGAGGTGAGAACCATAAGAAGCACCAACTTAGTAAGAACAAGCAACTTAAATTAAAAAAAAAAAAAAAAAAAAAAAAAAAAAAAAAAAAAAAGAGGACTGTGGTGTTCATACCCTGGTAAGGTCCATGCCCAGTTTGAGTTGAGAGATAAGATGAAGAATTACACTACGCTGTTCATCCATGACTCCCAAGTCCTCCTCTTCATTATCTTCGGTATCTGTCATCTCATCTTCAACTGAGATCAACTCGGGAGCTGAATTCTGAAACGAAAACATAAGGTGTCAGTATCCGAAAAAACACACATCCCTATGCAGGCTTAAAAATAGGGATGACTTGTGCCATCTAAAACCAATCTCTCTACAAAAATCCACTCCAACAGACTTGTAGTGCTATTTTGGGATCTTGGTAACAGCAGCAGCAAATTTACCATGTAAATAAACTAACTACTAGATAAAGCATTAATAGGTATTAATATTGCAGTAGTTGCAGCCAAGAGCAGGTAGTGGCACTAAATATGGAGTAATGAAATATCCTTTTCAGAAAACTCTCCACTTTGCGTTTTACTCAATATACCAATGATCACAAAACTCTCTTGGTAGACTCAAATTCATAAAGACACTCAAATAAATATAATGAGAATACTTAATATAAAACAAGTTGATTTCAAATTATTTTTCCCCCCTTTTATTCCAGTTGACCAAGTCTAAAAGGCTTGGATTTTATGCATTTTTAACAAAATGTTTAGCAGTGCTAAACATTTTGACCACTGCATGAAAGAACCCAATCCTAATGAGCACTAAATTGGAGACTAAAATAGACTGTTCAGAGAAACAAAAATTAATTAGAAACTTCCTGATCATGTCAGTACCATAAGTTCACTGTGATGCGTGAAGTAATTACTTCTGTATTTAGACAGTAAATGATAATGCCCACTTTCCAGACACACCATCTAAGGATTACCAAATAAACATTATTCCATCTCCCTTCAAAGAAAAGTGAGAAGTAAACATTGTGCTCTGTTGCAGAGTTTATTCCTTTCTTCTAAAATCATGGTATATTAACGAACTGCATCCGAAAGAGGTGGCAATTACATAACAAAAATATTTTAGTTTGAAATTTGTTCCCTTGATCAGGACCAGGGTCTAAAAAACTACAGGGTATGAATTATTTGGTTTAGTTCTGTGCATCTCTTCTTGTTTATGTTGCTGAAAAATTTACAATAAGGTTGTTCATGTCTCCTTAAGACAGCACCAATAGTTCTTGACAGCTAACTACTTTGACTCATTTATATTTATATTTAAAATTTTGGGGAAAACCAAAAACCCATCATCACTGCTGCAGCAACATTTTACTCCATTACTACAATTTTGGCATAAGAGATCACTGTAAAAACCACAGTTTAAATTTAAAAAAAAAAAAAAAAAAAAAAAAATACACATTTACAATAACAATTCACCAAATCAAAATATGGCTAGAAAACCTCTGAGCTTAAATTAGCAAGAGTATATTATCTGGCCAACCAGCACTACAATGCAGAACATTTAAAAGGTGCTTTTGTAATTACTACATCAAGAAAATAACGTAAATGCTGACCCTACATTAAACTTCAAAACTGGTGAACAGTAACATTAATATCTGCTGGGGCTTTTGAAGGAGCAACACATTTGACTCCCCTCACAAGAAACAGCACGAATATCCCCGTCCTCTCTGCTCACATGCAAATGAATTACTATTTAACTACAACACGATTGACAAGTCCTGTTGACTACATTTACTGCCCATGATCTAATTCTGTAATCATCACATATGAAATGCAGAATACTGAAGCCCTACCCTGACATATAATCATTCAATTTCAACTGGAGGAACAGCAGGGAAGGGGGCTTCTGAACTTACAGCAGACGTTTCTATATCTGGCTTGCCTTTGATCCAGCTTGACCTCATTGAGAGTACTGAGCTATTGAATAGAAGTGCTGCTGCTACTGCAAACTTGGTTTATGGCAAGCAAGCTCAAACTGGAGTTAGTAGCACTAGGGACAAGCAATAGAACCTCCCCATCCCAGTTTCCACTCCTCCCGCCACACACACATTTCTTTTTTTTTTTTTTTTTTAATTTAATCTGAGCTTAAAAAAAAAAAGTGTATTGGGTGTCAATCTGCTCCCTGTATTTCCAGTCATATGACACTGAGACCAGAGGACTTTAACTACAAATTGTTTCCAGCTAAAAAAAGATGCTTTTGCTTTGCTCTTTCCTGAAGGATGTCCTGGTACATTGCTCTGTGCTTTTAATTTGTTTTTAAAAGTTTTCTCCAAGCAACATAGGGGTGGACACTATACCAGGAAACATGCACATTTTAAAATTTAAAAAAAAAAAAAGTGCTAAACAATAACGAGCTCCTAAGGGCCACAAAAATTAACTAAACGATCAGTTCACAGAATTCTGACAACAGTACAATCCTCTGTTGTTGCTGAACGTGAGCAAGAGGCAAAATTTGAGAGAACAGCAAGAGACAACACTGCTGTGAAAACAAGGATTTTATTTTTCCTTTGCAAGTTTACATTCCTCCAAGGCTTGACATTCCAGATTTCTTGCTCACTAAAATGGAAACACCATTTTCAATCATTCTAAAAAATTTAGAAGGCAAATATCAACAGGCTGTTCTTACTTCTGTTAAAAATCCACACCATGGTACAATTTAAACAAATATATATATTTGCCAGGTCACTTGGAGCACTTTTAAGATCAAAAAGAATTTTGATATTTATTGTTACCAAAGAAGTGAATGAGTATTTTTTAATTTGAGATTGCATATATTTAATAGCAATATTGTAAGGTCCATAATCAATGGAAGTTTCACCAAAATTTGAAGTAAAATAAGTATATTATCTTTATTTTTTCTTGAAAAAAATCTTAATATATCCCTAATTAAATATTAATTCTCCCTCAGAACATATAGGCCAAGCAAAAGTTTGCATGAGAATGATAACAATCATCTACAATAACTCCACAAACTCCTTTAATGCTCCCCATATTATCATTTTGATCCAAAACATGCAGTATGACGTGTCTACTTTAGTTCTTTCCTCTTTGCCAAATCAAGATTAAAAACGCAACTGGCAGCCTTTCATTTCTATGGCAGCAAATGAACTGTAGTCCTCTTCAGTACAATAAGCCATATCTTTTAAATACCCCTTCACAAGCGTAAGGGAATTGCTGGGTGCCTTAAAACAGACACTTCTTTAAAAGAATAAACAAAATTAACTTCCTTCAACAGTACACTGTGGAAGTCACTCAAAGTCATATTCTAGGGTCTGTGTGCAAAGAACTATAAAATAAAAGCATGTTGCTTCAATAAAGTGTCAGGAACATCCCGTCCAGTTTTTCCAATTCTTTGCTTTCAACAGAATTAATGCACACAAGCCTAAAACTAAGTGTTATCATAATCCAGCTCAGCATAAAAGATTATGGCAAATGATTATCCTTTAATAGCAGGTTCCCAAAATAGAGTCCAATATGTGAATGATATTATTTTTCCTGAAAAATATTGCAAACTGAATTGCACTATTTGCTCTCTTATTAATTTTTAAAGCAGGCATCAATGTTATTGAGATGTTTGTTTAAATAGCCATGCATCTGACAACCCATGGGTAAATAACCAACAGTTCTTGGTTAGTACCACAGCTTGAGTAAAGCATCTCTCTCATACATGCTTATGTCTAGGTAAGAAGTGCTCAACCTTCAGCCCACGGGTCAAATGCGGGCCCAGGTTAGGGCCAGGCTCCCCCCGCCTCACTACACAGCTGGATGGGACCCTGCTGCACCTGCCCCACATGCCAGATTGGGTCCACTAGCTGGATCCAGCCCATAGGCAGACCAGAACGCACACTGCCCATCCAGCCCACTGGACACAAAGGTTGAGCACCACTAGTCTAAACCATTCTAATCCAACAGTAAGAAATGCGAACCAATATAAAACTCACAGTTGATAGGATGAGATATTAGAAAATTATTCTTCCCAAAAAAGTTTCTAGAAGACTCTGTATAGAAAATGCAGATTATTTTTCTTGGAATCCTATTTAAGTCTTTAAGCTGCCACTTTTATTTCAAAGTAACAAACAGCATTTTAAGGCCACCATCCATATTAGCATCTTTTAAATTCAAATCTAGGAGACTTTATGAGAAAGCACTCTTTTGAAGCTGAATCATTTGTGACAGTACACTTCATTTAAAAAAGGGGAACATTTCATTTAGAGAAGTAATCTGCTAGGATAAGGAATTGATGTTTTAGCCAGTGGCCCCTGTCAAGAAACATCAATTCACTTTTTAACAGATGAAATCAGTAAGTAAAAGAATTTGCCTTTCAACAAGGTACACTGACTAAAAACAGGATTCTCCTTCAGGAAAAATTCACTTTCACAGTCACAGGGAAAAAAAGGACACAGCCAATGGTAGAGTTTCTATAAAAGGAAAAAATCTCTATTTTTGGGGGGAGTGACAGATAAGTCCCCCCCCTTCCCATTACAACTGAAGTTCCATGACTCAGTTTTCACACACAGCTTCCCAAATGGTACAAGCAGATTTTTTTAAACAAATTGAGTAACTGTACTATTAACAATAACACACATTTTGACAACACAATCTGGTAGTAAAAATAAAAGGTATGTGCGTAATGGCCTTATATTAGACTAGGGAGATGATTATCCTTACTATACCTTGCCATCTATATTCAATTCTGGGTGCTTTGTTACTAGGAAAGTATAGACAAAATGAACAGAATGCTAAAAAAGTGTATTCTGATAAAGGGTGTTGAACAACCAACATGAAAAAATTGAAAGAACTAAATCTATAGGGCTTAGCCAAACAATGAAAGGAAGGGTCGGGGGGGGAAATCAGTACAAGTAAAGGCAGTAAATGTTAAGTACAAAGAAAATTTCAAAGCGAGAAAAGTGGGATGAAATTCAGAAAAGGAAATTCTCTCTCAGTCAAGAAATCCTAAAGAGTTAAGAATTTTCCAATGGAAGAAACTGGAATTAGGTTTCTCCATTTCAAACAAAATTGAGAAACGTACTAGAAAATATGCAGTATGGAATACTTTTGCATTAGGAGAAAGATGGACTAAACTCTGTGCGGGCCAGCTCCCGGTCCCGTCCTCACCGGGCGCGAGCCAGGCCCGTCTGTGTGCACGCGGGCTGTGGCCGGCAGCCCGGGCACGCGGGGCTGGAGAAAAGCCACGGGGTGGAGTAGTACACTCAAGCTAGA